AAATCATACCACTCTCATGGACTGCGGAAATAAGCAGGGGTTTTCATATCAAATAAAATAGACTTCAAGCCAAAGTTAATCAAAAGAGATAAAGAAGAATATTTCATACTGCTTGAGGGAACTATTCATCAACAAGACATACAATTATAAATATCTATGTCCCAACAATGGAGCATCTGCATTCAAACAAACTCCTCTTAGGTTCAAGAGTCAAATAGACCACAACACAATAATTCTGGGTGACTTTTAACACACCTCTTTCACCATTGGATAGATCTTCCAAACAAAAGCTGAATAAAGAAACTGTAGAACTCAATAGTACAATCAACAACTTACACTTAACTGACATATATAGAATATTTTATCTTTCAACAAGCAAATATACTTTCTTTTCAGCAGCACATCTAAAACAGACCATATATTATGCCACAAAGCAACTCTTAGCAAATAAAGTAGAGATACTACCCTGCATTCTATCAGATCATAATGGAATCAATGATAAAATAAAAAATAAGAGCTATTCCAACACCTGGAAACTAAATAATTTGTTACTGAATGAACAATGGGTTGCAAAAGACATCAAGGAGATCAAAAAATTCTTGGAGGTAAATGAGAACACACATAGGACATATTGAAATCTCTGGGATACTATGAAGGCAGTACTAAGAGGAAACTTCATTGCATGGAGTTCATTCCTTCAAAGAAGAAAAAAAATCAACAAATACATTACTTAACATTATATCTCAAAGACCTAGAAAAAGAACAAATGAACACCAAAAGCAGAAGACAAGAAGTAATTAAAATCAGAGCTGAAATCAATGAAATTGAAAAAAAAGAAACAACTAAAAAAATTGGCAAAACAAAAAGCTGGTTCTTTGAAAAAATAAATTAAATTGACGTACCCTTAGCCATGTTAATGAAGAGAAGGAGAGAGAAAACTCAAATTACTAACATACATGATAAAAAAGGAAATATCAGCAGACCCTACAGATATACAAAAGATAATTAGAAATTATTTTGAAATAAAATAGAAAATATCAAAGGCATAAACAAATTTCTAGAGTCATATGATTTGCCCAAATTGAATCAGGATGATATATTCAATTTAAACAGATCAATTTCAAGATAAAAGAGAAGACACCATCAGAAGCCTACCAACCAAGAAAAGCCCAGCACCGGATGGATACAAGACCTTTAATGAAGAACTAACACCGATACTCTTCAATTTATTTCAAGAAATAGATAAAGAGAGTATACTTCCAAACTCATTCTATGAGGCCAATATCACCCTGATTCCAAAACCAGGCAAAGATACATCAAAGAGAGAAAACTTCAAACCAACATCTCTAATAAACATAGATGAAAAAATTCTCAATAAAATTCTGGCAAATCAAATACAAAAACATATCAAAAAGACAGACACCACGATCAAGTGAGCTTCATCCCAGGAATGCAAGGTTGGTTCAACATACAGAAATCAATAAATGTAATCCATCACATCAATAGACTTAAAGAGAAGAACCACATGATCATCTCAATAGATGCAGAAAAAGCATTTGACAAAATACACCACCCCTTCATGTTCAAAACTCTAGAAAAACTAGGGATAACAGGAACATATCTCAAGATTGTAAAAGCTATCTATGCTAAGCTCCAGGCCAATATCACTCTAAATAGAGAAAAACTGAAGGCATTCCATCTAAAAACTGGAACAAGACAGGGATGCCCTCTTTACCATTTCTATTTAACATAGTTCTTGAAACACTGGCTAGAGCAATTAGATGAAAGAAATTAAAGGGACACAGATAGGTAAAGAAGAACTCAAATTAGCACTATTTGCCGTCAATATGATTCTATACCTAGAAGACCCAAAAAATTCCACCAGAAAACTTCTGAAACTAGTAAATGAATTCAGGAAAGTAGGAGGATACAAAAATCAAGAACCATAAATCAAAGGCATTTCTGTATATCAGTGACAAATCCTCTGAAAGGGAAACGAGGAAACTACCCCATTTACAATATCCTCAAAAAATTAAAATAAAATACTTGGGAATCAACAAAAGAGGTGAAAAACCTCCACAACAAAAATGCAGAATGCTAAAGAAAGAAAGAAGAACTTAGAAGATGGAAAAATCTCCTTTGTTCTTGAATAGGCAGAATTAATATTGCCAAAATGACCATACTACCAAAAGCACTATCTAGATTTAATGTAATTCCAATCAAAATCCCAATGATATTCCTCAAAGAAATAGAAAAAGTAGTCATGAAATTCATCTGAAAAAATAAGAGACCCAGAATAGTTAAAGCAATCCTTAGCAAGAAAAGTGAAGCAGATGGCATCACTATACCAGACCTTAAACTTACTACAGAGCAACAGTAACAAAAACAGCACGGTATTGGCACCAAAATAGAGTGGTAGACCAATGGTAGAGGACACAGAGACTAACCCACATAATTACAATTATCTTACTTACATTAGACAAAGGCACCAAAAACATACATTGGAGAAAAGATAGCCTCTTCAACAAATGGTACTAGGAAAATTGGAAATCCATATGCAACAAAATGAAATTAAGAAATTAAACCCCTATCTCTCACCATGCACAAAACTCAGAGTGCATCAAGGATCTAGAAATTAAACCAGAGACACTGTGTCAATTAGAAGAAAAAGTAGGCCCAAATTCTCCATCATGTCAGAGGCCCCGATTTCCTTAATAAGACTCATATAGTGCAAGAATTAAAATCCAGAATCAATAAATGAAATGGATTCAAACTAAAGAGCTTCTTCTCAGCAAAAGAAACAATCAGTGAGGTGAACTGAAAGCCTACAACGTGGGAACAAATTTTTATCACACACACATCAGATAGAACACTAATCTCTAGGATATATAAAGAACTCAAAAATCTTAACACCAAAACCCAAATAACCCAATCAATAAATGGGCCAAGGACCGGAACAGATACTTCTCAGAAGGTGATATACAATCAATCAACAAATATATGAAAAAATGTTCAACATCTCTAGCAACCACAGAAATGCAAAGATTTCATCTCCAGTCAGAATGGCAGCTATTAAGAAGATGAACAAGTATTGGCGAGGATGTGGGGAAAAGTCACACTCATACACTGCTGGTGGGACTGCAAATTTGGTGCAGCCAATATGGAAAAGCAGCATGGAGAATCCATGGAAAACTAGGAATGGAACCACCATTTGACCCAGCTATCCCACTCCTCGGTCTACACCCAAAGGACTTAAAAACAGCATGCTACAGGGACACAGCCACGTCAATGTTTGTAGTAGCACAATTCACAATAGCTAAACTGGAACCAAGCTAAATGCCCTTCAGTAGATGAATGGATAAAGAAAACATGGTATATATACACAATGGAATATTATTCAGCATTAAAAGAGAATAAAATCATGGCATTTGCAGGTAAATGGGTGGAGTTAGAGAATATAATACTAAGTGAAGGTAGCCAATCCCAAAAAAAACAAATGCCAAATGTTTTCTTTGATTTAAGGCTACTGATTCTTAATGTGGTAGGGGAGGCATGGGAAGATTAGATGAACTCTAGATAGAGCAAAGGGGAAAAGTGGAGGGAGGGGAAGGAAGGGGCTTGGGGGTAGGAAAAAACGGTGGAATGAGATAGACATTGTTATCCTAAGTATATGTATGAAGACACAAATAGTATGATTCTACTTTGTGTACAACTAGAGATATAAAAAATTGTGCTCTTGGGATGGGGATATGGCTCAAGCTGTAGCGCGCTCGCCTGGCATACGCGGGGCGCTGGGTTCGACCTTCAGCACCACATAAAAATAAAGATGTTGTGTCCACCGAAAACTAAAAAATAAATATTAAAAATTCTCTCTCAAAACAAATTGTGCTCTATATGTGTAATATGAATTGTAATGCATTCTGCTGTCATATATAACAAATTAAAATTTAAAAAATAAAAAACAAAGATACCATTCAACATTCAAACAGATTTTAATTGATTGCCTCTAGTGTAATATATGTGCTAAGTGCTATAACAAAATGGAAAAATCAAATCACTTGTCCTCAAGATCCTTACATTTCTCTCAAGGTTGTTACATGTATAAGGCAGGAGGTGTTAAAAATGACAAAAACTGCAATGAGTTCAGGAAAAGAGAAAGCAAAAATTAAGGCTTCCAGATAGAGAAAATAGTCTGAAAAAAGGAAGATAAACATACTTTCTCTACTTAGGTAGATACTAATAAGTGACTAAAGGCAATATTTTGCTATTCTCTACAATATTTTTTACCTATCTCCTCTGAAATAACTTACAAATCCACTTTCCCAAATTAGTCACATAGGGCTAAAAAATATTGTACAAATGTTAAAGAGCTAGATCTATCTTTCCATAAAAATTTACAAAGAAGAAAAATTAAATAATCATAATGACATGCATTGCATGTTTACATTTAAAGAGGGTCTTATAAATAGCAAAGGTGGAATAGATTGAAAATTGGCTTTAGAATGAGACACTGCATTCTGAAACTCAGCCCTACTATTTATTAACAGTTTGACTTTCAAACAGTTCCTTCTCTGAAAGTTGGTTTCCTTTCTATAAAAATGGAGACAACTACCCTATAAGCAACCCTGCAAGATAAGGAGATAATATGCATAAAGCTCACAATATATAGAAGGTACTTTTATCAATGTCTACTTTAACTTATTAAATAGGGGAAGTAATAATTACTCATGAGCTATGCTACAAGGAAAGATTCTATAACAAACTAATCATTTTGTCAGTATCATATTAGATCAAAATTCAAAAATACGTGACCTAGAAAGTCATGAAAACCCTCATGCAAACTAGTTTTTTGCGCTCTTACATCTGCCTATAGGTACAGACTCTGAATGTCTTCTAAACCACTGGTGAGCATGTATGAAAGCCATTGCCTGTGACATACTGTACCTTTTGATTTGATTTCTCTTCCCTTGAATGGCTAAAACGTGTAAGCTAACACAAACCTGTCACAGTCCGTTGGCCATCACTTAGGTTATTCCACCACTTGTTAATCTAAAACAGAAGGAAAATTGCATATCACCGCACGTGAAACACTTTTAGGCTAGGAAAATGAAAATCCAGAAAGGAAATGCCTGTGTATGAAAGAGGGATTCTTGAGGCTGGGGCTATCGCTCAGTGGCAGAGCACTTTCCTATCATGTGTGAGGCACTGGGCTCGATACTCAGCACCACATAAAAATAAATAAAATATAATGACAACACACACTACAAAATAAATAAATAAATAAGGCATGTTGTCCATCTACTACTACAAAACAAAGTTAAAAAAAAAAAGAGGGATTACTCATTTGCAAAATAATCACAATGTAATACAATGGAAAAAGCATGTGTTTTAGTCAGATTACATTCTCAACACAGTCACTGACCAGACATTTTACTTCTTAGCTTTGGTTTCCTGATATATACATGGGACAATAATAGATATCAAGCAGCATTGCCAGGAGGAATATCAATAATGCGAAGCAACTAGCTACACTATCAGATATAGACAGGAACTGAGTGATTATTCACCAAGGGCCTATTGAGTTTTAAAATTCCAGCTGAGGCCAGTTTTAAAATTCTAGTGACACATGCCTGTAATTCCAGAGACTCAGGAGGATCATAAGTTCAAAGTCAGTCTCAGCAATTAACTGAGAACTTCAGCAACTTAGTAAGATCCTGCCTTTAAATAAAAAGAACTGGGAATATAGTCCAGTGGTAAACTCCCCTGGGTTCCACCCTAGTACCATCAGGAAAAAAAAAAAAAAAATCTATTTAGGCAGGGTGGTATGTACCACGCTGAGGAAAGAGGAACACTTGAGACCAAGAGCTTGGGGCCAGCCTGAAACATACATTGAGATCTGGTCTCAAATAAATAAATAAATAAGATAAAAATAAAATCCTGAGAATATTTTGTGGCAAAATTGCTATTTTTCTTAAAAGATATAATAATGGCATTGAAGTTCAGAAAAAGATATAAGAAGAATCCTAAATTTTTAAAGATATACACTGAAATTTTTATTGTTGAAATATGCCTAAGACTTGCCAGGGGCAGTGGTGCATGCCTGTGTTCCCAGCAACTCAGGAGCTTAAGGCAGAAGGATTCCAAATTTGAGGGCCCTCTTGGCAACCTAGCAAGACCCCGTCTCAAAATAAAAAATAAAATGGGCTGAGAAGTTAGTTCAATAGCAGCACTCCCCTGTGTTCAATCTCCAGTACTGCAAAACAAATGAAAAAATAATAATGCAGTGAGGGAGAGGAAATGAAAGGAAAATAGATGTATAACAAAATTGGCACTGTTAGTAACCACTGAAGTTGGACAACGGTGGTACGTAATACTTTTCTATTTTTGTATATGTGTATAATTTTCCATGATTAAAGTTTTAAAATAAGAAAACACATTCTAATTATAAAATTGAACTAGATTGTTATAGAAAAAAACTCAGGATAAAAAAAATTACTGTTCAGTATGTATGTGATTCCATTTCTGTAATTATAATAAATTTGTGCATGAGTTCCCAGACCTTATTCACTGCACAGGCAGTGGTGTGAATGGGGTCCCAGAATCTTGCTTTGCTGCCCAGGCTGTCTAAAACTTTTATTTTCCATCTTAAATTCATGTATTGTAACAGTTTTCTTTAATGGGCATGAATTTTATGTATCACAACCTATCATTTAGCTATTATAAAAATCTATTTTGGACTAAGATTATATATATATTGCTTATGCTATTTTTCACCTTTTTTTTCCATGAAATATTTCCATCATAGTGAATCTTTTTTTTTAAATTAAATACCTTTCAAAAATTATTTATTTTTTTAATGTGGTGCCGAGAATCAAACCCAGTGCCTCACACATGCTAGGTAAGTGCTCTACCACTGAGCCACAACTCCAGCCCCTATTTTTCACCATTTTAAAGAAACATTTGGGGGCTGGGGTTGTGGCTCAGTGCTAGAGCACTTGCCTAGCACATGTGAGGCACTGGGTTCAATTCTCAGCACCACATATAAATAAAGGACCATCAACAACTAATATTAAAAAAAAAAAAAAATTGAAGTACATTTGGACATTAAAACTTCACACACAGAGACATGTGGGAAACCTCTAGCTTTCGAAGGGATCTGGGGTTATGTAATGTCTGTTTTACAATCCTCTTGAATAATATACTGAATAAAAATCTGCTAGTTATTGTTTTCACCTGCAAATATTATCACTGTTCTGCCATAAAGCCTCTCTGAACCTGTGGAGAAACAGAGAAATGATTCCTTCTCCCTAAATATGAAAACCTCAAACTGTCATTAGTAAAAAGAAAATCCAAGATTTTTCTTCTCAGGCTCTCATCAACCAGCATCAGATTGTCTCAAATTAAAAAAAATAAAACAAAATTTAAAAAGACTGGGGATGTAGCTCAGTGGTAAAGTGCCCCTGTGTTCAATCATCAGTACTGCCAAAAAAAAAAAAAAAAAACAGAGAGAAAAAAATCATTCAGAGGACTGAGGGGCCACCATGTGCATATTAAAAAATAAATGGAAGCCAGATATGGGGTGCATACCTATAATCTCAGCGGCTGGCGGGGCTGAGGCAAGATGATCACAAGTTCAGAACCAGCCTCAGAAATGAGGAAGCACTAAGCAACTCAGTGAAACCCTGTCTCACAAAATAGGGCTGGGGATGTGGTTCAGTGGTCAAGTGCCTCTAAGTTCAATCCCTGGCACTCCCTTCCCCAAATAAATAAATAGAAATCTCTGTAAGTTCTATAGTTGCACCTCTGTGTTGTATTCCATACTAAGTAGAGTCAGAAACACTCAACAGTGGGGATTTTACCTTAGAAAGCTCTTCAAAATCCAGTTAGTTGGTGACTCTTCCCCTAAGGCATGTATATTTTGAATAACTCCTCTGATTTTGATACACACACTGAAGTCATCCAGCAAGGTGATACAAGTAAAATAATGGGCCTTATACTGTAGTAGGGCTGGGATGAGGCCCCAATACATTAATTTTTAACAACTATCTGTGGTGAATTTGATGCATATGAGTAGAAGGAAAAAATTCTTGGAACACTATCAAGTACAACACTGCCAGACAGACAACACATTAATAATACTTACTGTGGTAAAAGGACTTTAAAGAAGAATGTTAAGTACACTGTCTTAACATCTATGGATAGAATATAACCATTATCTAAAAAAGACTTCATAAATAACCAGACTTCAAAAATTGTGGTTAACTATAACAAAGAAAGTAAAGTTTATATTTACCTCCTTTCTGAGGTCTCCTTCTTTTTGTGGTCTTATGCTATCCAACCAATCAGCTTTTATACCATCGAAATAACTCTGGACTCTGGACTTCAGTGATTCATATTGCCAAATAGCAGCTGATCCAAATGCACAGCCTGTAAACTATATAAAATTATATGTAATACAAAACAACTAATAGGGAAATAGGTCTCTATATAATTCCAAGGAAAATATTTTGCTTTTACAAACCAATAGAAGGAACATCTGGCACAGTAAAAAACTATCAGGTGACAAGAACATTTTACTGTTTTCCATTTTGTTAACTTCGTAAGACCTTAAGGCCTGTTTCCAGTAACAAATCTCCAGATGAATTCAAAAATTCACATTGTATCTTTTGAAATGCTATGCCAAATAGGAAGGCCCATAAATTTCTTCTCTAAAACTTATATACTGACTGAGGCAGATCCTAAAAGCAATTATTAGGGGGCTGGGGTTGTGGCTCAGTGGCAGAGGGCTCGCCTAGCACATGTGAGGCCCTGGGTTCAATCCTCAGCATCATATAAAAATATGTAAATAAAACAAAGGTATTGTGTCCATGTATAACTAAAAACAAATTTTTAAAAAGCAATTATTAAATCCATTCTGTAATCAGAATTCATGAGCCCAGCTACCCAGATCCTTTTGATATCGTCCTCCCCACACACAATATGTTCTTACTCTAAAGGAACTCAACCAGATTGATAGTACTTGAACATTACACTGGAAATAAGCTAGGTAAGAAACTTCCAGTGATATGAACTCTTACCCCAACAGTGAAAAAAAAAGGTTTTATGAGAGTCCTTATAGGATAGGGAGAAGGATAAAAGACTGTTTCTTCTACTGGAGGGATCAAAGCACTTCTCTTGTATGCTTCACCACTTGATCCTGTGTCAGATCTTCGAGGTTCAACCTTCCTGGGAGCTTTTCTGAATCCACATTTTTGCTGAATAAAGAAGTTAAACCTGTGAGGGAAATATCATATTAGAAACAGAGTGGGATCTAGCAAACATATACAAGCTTCTACTTGGCCTGCATTATTACCACTTCAGTTTATCCTCACTCCACTGTCAGGACTCCTAACTCAGGTAGAAATCAAAATCATAACATTTACCTTTTTTGGAATAGAAGAGATACAAACTACAGCAACTTTAGAGGGTACTTCCATCAATCAACAAAACCTACATTAGTCATTGGTAATTTCCCCATATACATGGCATCTGTTTGATCTTACATGCTTTGAAGACTTGTCTGTTCTTCAGACAAGTTCTCCAGAAGACAGCATTGGAAGTACTGTACTTCACTTCTGCATGAAATCTGCTAAAAAAAAGTAGCACTCTGGAATTGATTTAGTTAAGTCTTTTAGATATAACATTTATTGTCATCGTGGATCAGGTATTATCAGTTGTCAAGTATTATCAGTTCTGAATAAATTTTTAATAAACATTTTTTAGTTGTTGATGGATCTTTATCTTATTTTATATACAGTGCTAAGTATCGAATCTAGTGCCTCACACATGCTAAGCAGTACTCTACCACTGAGCCACAACCCCAGCACTGAAGAAATAAATTTTGAAGAGATATAGGAGAAAATGCATCTTATGAAATGTTACAATAAAGCCTAGTGTTGACTTTTGACTATTAGTTTTTTTTTTTTTTTAACAGGGGAGGCCTGTAGGCAAAGATATTCAGTGATTAAGGGACCTACATATACCATATAGCTTTTCTTCCAAATATAAGAGAAAGTCCATTTTAAAAGTCTCTTAAATATTTTCAATAGTTTCTGAATTATCTATAGGAAGCTCTTAAATGTTTGATATGGTCTACCATTAAATCCAGGTCATATTTTACATCAAAATTTATGATAAGCAAAGCCAAGTTACTTGACCTTTGATCTGTCAAAGCGTTCTTCAAATATGTTTTGAGATGCTTTTGTACATTTTCATAGTGCTCATTCTCAACCTTCATTGCAGGAATATGTACTAGGAAGAAACATGACATCAGGCGATGGAGGGCCTCATAAACGGTAGATGGAAGCTTTATATCTTCCCTCTGTGTTTCCATTTGATTCTTCAACAGTGAAGTTTGGCTGAAGAGCATGTCAGGATAAGGCAAGTCATTTTTGTATACATAAGCTCCTCTGATGTATTGAATTTAAGCTATCCCATGACTGAAGGCACCAGAGATAAGGCACTCTTCTGAAAAGATATCTTTTAAGTTCCTGAATGATGTGCTCCACTGTTGGAACATTACAGTTTCTTTATAGTAACTTTCAGAGGTTAGTTAAGTTTCCAAGTTACCCTGCCAACACCTACAAAATTTCCCAGGGAGTTTCATTTGAATATTGTTTGGTTGCCAAATTTGTTGCTTCCTCAAACCAAAACTATGATAAACTTCAATATTTTCCATGACTTCCTGAGTCAATGTAGCATTGTATTCAAGCTGGGAGCAAAGACTATATCAGAGGTTTGTCCCTGGAGATTTTTCCCCAAAGGCTCTTGTAAAAGATAAAACATTTTTTTTAAAACAGCAAATGGTAACAATGAAATAAAAATCTCTTACTGCACAACAGAGTACAGATGCTCAGCCAGCTATACATTATTCCACCTAATATTTGTGTTACTACATAGACAACATCTAAACATAAAACAAACATTTGCAGGTTGGGGCTGTAGCTAAGTAGCAGAGTGCTTGCCTAGCAAGTGTGGGGTACTGGGTTCAAGCCTCAGCACTACATAAAAATAAACAAATAAAGGCATTCTGTCCATTTACAACTACCAAAAAAAAAAAAAACCCACTTACCCAAGCCCACTAAAATTGCAAAAGGGCCAGGCACAGTGGCACACACCTATAATCTCAGTGGCTTGGGTGGCTGAGGCAAGGAGAATCGCAATGCCAAAGCCAGTCTCAGCAACTTGGTAAGGCCCTAAGCAACTCAGTGAGACCTTATCTCTAAAATACAACTACAACTAAAAAATAAATATTTAAAAAAATATATATATATATAAAAGGATTAGGCACCCCTAGGTTTAATCTCCAGTAGCCCCCCAAAAATTTCAAAAACATCACACCAGCCTGTCCACTGAGAATGGCAAATTTCCTTCAGTTCTTTACCAGTTTCCTCACTATTCTGAAAAAGAACAGAAATTGCATTGTCAAGTTCTAAAAGAGTTGTGGATGAGAAAAAGACTTTTCTTCATTATTCCTAATGCAATAGATAGCCCCAGGGGCACTGATTTTACAAACCACATGTTTAAGGTATAGGAAGAGCAGAGTGTGTAGATAGCTTGGGGATATTTCTCGAAAAGTCTTGAAGCAGCAACTTTCATTTTGGAATAGAATTTGCTAGAAACAATGTAAGCCTGGCCATGACAATACTCCATATGTAGTCCCCACTTCTCAGTTATCATAGTGTGAAATTTCACAGCCAAAATTTCTTCATTAACTTCCTAAGGCAGTAAGACCACAAATTCCATTCATTTTATGAGATTTATCTACAGACCTTACCAACACAGGAAGGTGCTCTTCCCCTCCTACATCCACACCTCATAATGGAAAAAACTAGAAAAAATCCCGGAGGGTTACTTCTCGAATGCTGCTTACAGATCTTTAACATGTGTTTCTGCTATTTTTGAACATAACAATGTGTTAATCATAGTAGTCTCAAAGTGCTTTCTCAGGACCTCGTCGCTACAATTTATTTGGTACTCCTGCAGTGGCTAAATGTTATGAGGAGTGAAGAGACTTTCTGGGATTTCATCAGCCTTATGCCCATCTAGAGGTATGTTTTGTTTTCTCATAAGAATCAAAATTTCAAAGACTTTTGTTTACCTCTTTAAGGACTAAAGGCAAAATGTCTTCAGCCTGCTTATCACCCCCTTCTTCTGCACTGGAGTTCTGAGCATTGCTATTGTTTATGTTTTTGTTCTTTGCTCACAAGTTTCATCATTTTTTTGTTTTGTTTTGGTGTCCTGGTTTTATCACTCAATTCTTTTATTGTTTTCTGTGTCTACTATGTGAATTGCTCAAATGACTGGTTAGATCAAATATTGCTAGTATTGCATTACCTAAAAAAAAAAACTGTCCTATAAGGACTCTCCCAAGTATCTGCTTCAATTAATTTTTTAAATTTATAATATGGTGCTGGGATTGAACCCAGGGCCTTGTACATCTGAGGCACCCCACCCCCATGCTTCAATTAATTTTGAGAAAGAAAATAACCCAATCATTTAGTTTTCTGATGCCTCTGTAAAATGCATAGTTCTATAAATCAGAAGTCTCAAAGTGTTTTGGCACATAATTGAAAACTACTTAGCTAATCAGTGCCGCAGTCTGGCTGGGCACAAAATAACCGAGCCGCCACAAAGCCTTTTAGGTTCAAACAGCAACTCTTTATTCCCGAACTCTCACCGGCACTCTACACACACTTTCCGGGAACACACTCCCTCCACCGGGCTCCTCGCGCCAATTCTCTCAGAACCCGGAGAGAACTCAAAAGTAGCTGGCTCCCAAGGCAGCAGGATCTACTCTAATCCCGGAGCAGGGTCACCTTTCAACCATTCCCTCTGGCAAAAATGGCAGGTGTCATTCCGTCTAAACTGTGGCTCTCAACAAATCAGGTGTTTTTATCTTTCATGTCAGCTTTCCTACAATTCTCCCAATTCTGGCACCTGGCCTGATTCCACAGGAACCTAAACAAGGACCCAAAAGGATTGCATGCAAGAGTTTTCTTCCATGTGCAGTCTGCAGTCTGGAACAGAGTAGTTTCACAGAAGTACCTCACCTCCCCACCTCTTCAGGGCAGCCTGCCAGCCCACCCATACCTATAGGCAGGGGAGGGAAGCCAGGCCAACCGGCCAGCTTCTTATAGTGCTCCCTTACTTTAAAACCAATATATTCACATGGAAACTAACTCACTGGCTTCTACAAACAGTTCCATTTTCTGACTTATCTCTCAGTTCTATCAGTCACAGAGATTAAAATATGTCATTTGGAATTCACTTTTACTTTTAACATCCAATTAAGAACCAACTCTGTCAACAAAAATACTTTTCATTCCTAGTCTGGTCCCTTACTTTGTGCCTAAAGTACACCAAAAGCTTACTGAACTTACACACTTTTTAACATGTCCCATGTTCTTTCTTCACATCACTGTTCTTCATTCAATAGTTCCTCAAATAGGGCCTCTCACAGGACTAAAAATCTCTCCCTAATTCCAATACAACTTCTTAGCCCATCACTTCTGTCTAAAACACTGTACCATTTCCTAGCTAATATCCCTTTTAATATTCCACACTCCAAATTCATTCTTCACATTGTATTACCCACAAACATAATGTTCCCCTGCTTTAAACCCCACAATATACCCTCTACTGCAACTCATATGTGATGGCTTACAAAAAATAAACCCCAAAATACTTTTTCAGCACATCCCTTATATGTTTGCCCTCCTCTCAGCAATTCTTTACCACCCAAAACCATTTTTACTCCCACTATATTGTGTAGTACTTAATTATATGAATTATATTGAATTATATAATTATATAATTATATAATTCAATTATATAATTATATAATTATATAATTGAATTATATTGAATTATATAATTATATTGAATTCTTTGTTGTTCCCTTCATCTGCCTATGACAACACTACTTCCTTATTCTAGTTACCTACTCTGTCCAGCCAACTTTTTTGTGCCTTTCAGAATATGACCTCCTCCAGTAAGTCTTCCTTAACTCCCCCAAGCTTCAAGGATCTCTCCTGTGTCCTTCCAGAGTTCTAAATCGATTATAATATTTATCTCAATCACTGCCTCTAACCCTACTAGATTATAGTGTTGTAGTCCTTGTATCTTTACCACCAAGCATAGCTCCTAATAAATAAGTTAGTAATAATCCATTAGAAGAAAGGAGTTAAAATGATAGTTGGGTCTGGAATGTAGCTCCGGGTTGAACACTTGCATGAGGCATTGGATGCGATGAGAGGAGTAGTGTTGGCTCTTATGCATGTTCATTTGTGTGTGTGTGTGTGTGTGTGTGTGTCACACACACACACACACACACACAAAGTCTGTTAGTCTTACTTTGACTATCTGAAAGGAAGGTGGGACTATTTACTAAGATAAGAAAAGCTAACAGCTTCAAAAGAGGAGACTAGAAGATGCTGAGGTCATGGAACTTCTTACTGCTAAAAACTGGAATTTACATTTCTATGAACAAGGGATTGAATAATCTGTGATAGATTCATATAATTAAGTACTATACTTGGCTAAAAGAAAACCTTCACCAGATGATCATACCTCAGGGAGAACTCTCAGCAGCTAGGGAGGCCCAGGTAGGAGGTTCACAAGTTCAAAACCAATCTCAGCAACTTAGCAAGACTCTGTCTCAAAAAATAAAAAAGGACTGGGATGTGACTCCAAGGTGTTTTGTTAAATGTCCTTGGATTCAATTCCTGGTCCCTGACCCCACCAAAAAAAAATTGAGCAAAAGAAGTCAAACAAAAGAATATTCAAAATATAAAATATACAAAATATATTTTGGTCTGTGATTTACATATGAAGTTGAAAAACAGGCATATGAAGTTGAAAAACAGGCATACTAATTAACATGTTGCACTAAAAATCAGAATGGCTGTCTGGAGTAGGTGTGACTTGACTAAAAAGGGGTGAGCGAACTTTCTAAGGTGATGGAAATTGTTCTTTGCCCTGATTTAGATGAATGGTAGCACAGGTATACACATTTATCAGACTTCACTGGCTCTAAAGTTAATACTTATATATTGTACAATATGTAAAGTATGTCTCAAAATATTTTCAGCATAAAAAATATGCTTGTAGGATATCTGGGTGGAGGTATCTTGGAAGCAATTATACTCAAAAATGGTATGTCCACTATACTATCACATGTGTAGACTATCCTCTCTCCTCAACACTGAGCCCACTCAGTTCATCTCAGAAATCACGTAGCAAGGCTGGAGTACAGTGATAAAGTAATTTCACTGGAAAGTTTATATAATTCAGAATTTATTCTCAAATAAGTGATATTTCTTTCAAATAAATCTATTATAGAAAGTTAAGAACTTATTCAAACAATGGTAACGTTGCTCTAAATCTAAATGCTTCTGAAATCCTGTTAAAAGTCTTGTGAAAGAATATCCTTTAGGGGCTGGGGATGTGGCTCAAGCGGTAGCGCGCTCGCCTAGCATGCGTGCGGCCCGGGTTCGATCCTCAGCAGCACCACATACCAACAAAGATGTTGTGTCCACCGAGAACTAAGAAAAGATAAATAAATGTTAAAATTCTCTCTCTCTCTCTCTCTCTCTCTCTGTCCCCCTCTCTCTCCCTCTCTTCTTTAAAAAAAAAAAAAAAAAAAGAATATCCTTTAGCAAACACTGTTGAATGGCTAAATTCAAATTATTTCCAATCCTCTCTCCTTGCCTGCTTTTTCTGTAGTGACCAGGAAAGATAAATATCTTCAGTTTTTCAGCCTCTCCTGAAGTTAGGTGTGGCCAAATCACACAAAACTCTGGCTAACTGAGACTTAGGGATTTTTCAAGAACCTCTTGGAAAGGTTTTGCTTACCTGATAAAGACATATCACTGATGTCTGTCTCTATCAAACACAACCACTCCCTTTTTTCTGCCTTGAATAATGCCTTAAGCTGAGCAGTTATCTTAATCAAGAGAAAGACCCAAGGATTTAGATATTAATCTTGACATTTTTGAGCTACTAAGCAACAATAGTCACTTAACTACAATAATCTCATAATACTTAAAATAACTTATCTAAACAAACCATCAGTTTACTTTCAGCCAAATGAAATCCCAACTGATATTTCAAATAGTAGATGTTAAGTCTTTGCAACTGATTTGATTTCTATTAAATATTCTGGGGATGTGGCTCAATCGGTAGCGTGCACCTGGCATGTGAGGGGCGCTAGGTTTGATCTTCAGCACCACATAAAAATAAAGATGTTGTGTCCACTGAAAACTAAAAAAAATATTCCAAAGTAACTTAGATCTGGTAAATAAAGAAGTAATCAAAACAAAATGCCACTAGGGACCAAAACAGGGCCTGACAAAGTAATCAGAACATGTTTACTATAGAGACAAGTTGTACTGGTGGTTCCTTTCATTTCTCTTACTATACCAAGAAATACAAAGAATATGAATCTCTTATATGGCCAACAGCTTAAATTAATCAACCAAATCTAGTGAAAGATTACTTCTTCCACATCTCATTCACTTAAAATTTTGAAGCACAGGGTCTTGGGATGTGGCTCAAGTGGTAGCGCGATCCCCTGGCATGCATTGAGGCACTGGGTTCGATCCTCAGCACCACATAAAAATAAAATAAAGATATTGTGTCCATCTAAAACTAAATAAATAAATATTAAAAGATATTTTGAAGCACAATGTTTGGAAAGAAACAGAGACTAGGGTGGGAATCTAGAAGCAAAGTCAGATCTTTTGCTTACACTATTTACCTTGTTTTTTAATCCACATACCAGTAGTGGCATTTAAGATTCTGAAGATTTAGTCTAGAGCAGTAATTTTCAATGTTAATCACACATTAGAATTTCTCTTTAAAAATGCCATACCATGGTCCGAGCTTGAATTAATTAAACTGGAACCTCTAGGAGTGGGGGCAGGCCCTCGGTGGTTTTTCTCAAGGTCTTCAGGTAGTTCTCATGTGCTGGGGAAAACTTTAGTCTACATACAAATCACCTGGGGATCTCATTAAACTCACATTCCAATTTAGTAGTCTTGGGGTAGGATACATATGAGAGTATACATTTCTGAAGTTTTAAATTAGAGGTTGACAAACTATGGCCTGCAGCAGGGTGAATTTGATCCTCCAGGTAAGAGAGGTTCCTACTTTTTTGTACTGGGGATTGAGCTCAGGGCACTTTACCACCAGAGCTCTGGATTCTTGAGTTTCTAGTAGCCACACAATTGTTATGGTTCTGTTCTTAATATGATCCCATAACTTTTAAATAGAAAAAGTCCATATATTTGAAAATATCCATATAATAAAAAAATCCATATATTTGGCTTACTGGTGAGATAATAGTTTCACTATGAACTGTTTTTACAAGTTTGAAGATGAAGATAATGTGATAATAAAGCTTTAATTATTTACCACTGGTGAGCTCAGAAGTTGATAATATCTGTTACTAAAATTCTATATGAACAAAACTAAGTAGGAAAGGCCTAATATTGAAAATAGACAAGATGTATCCAAGCACACAGATCAAATTCATTCCACTTAAAACAAAATAAATATATTTGGGCTGAGGAGGAAATCCTAAATTTTCTTAAAACTGATCTTTTGGTGGGGGTACTAGGGATTGAACCCAGGGTAAGAAAACGTAAGCAAGCATTCTACCATAAGTTATATCCCCAGTTGTGAGGAAAATAAGAAAAAAAAAAAGCCTCAAATAATGATGGGTTAAGCAGGGAAACACACCTGATTTACTAATTTGCCAAGTGTCTTACCTAAATAAGACTGTCACCTCAATCTAAAAAGAAATTAATCCTTATGTAGGTGCTACAGTCAACTTTTTTCTTCTCTTAGTTTCATACAATCAGCAAATTATGCAGGTCTATTTTCAAACCTTAGTAATGTTTTTCAGAAGTTCTGCCAGAAGCTTGATAACAGAATTTTTGAAGAGCGTGAAGTTTTTTCTGAAAAGGTTAGATAGTAAATGTTTTAGTCTTTTTGGACTGAAATCTGTTACATCTTACTGTTTTTGTTTTACCCTTTAAAAATGTAGAAATCATTCTTGGTGGGCACCCTGGATCTGCATAAGTTTGTAGATTCTTGTATCACCACCTACAATGCTTGTAAAATGCAAATGCCTGGCCCCTCTTCAGGCCCATTACATCAGTCACATGGACTGAATCATTATTCTGCACACTGATTTTAGAACCAGAACTCAAAGCAGACCTAATAAAGGTTATATAGAAGGTAATTCATTCCCTATTAACTTTAAGTGCCTGTTTCCAGAGACAAGGAGCAAATGCTATTTCAGGCTTACTCACATTTTCAAGTAAAGCACATTTTTATATACAACCACAAAAATGTCACCTTCAAACTTTCCACATAAGTAGCAAACTTTTAAAAAAATCAGGTGTTAATCTTCATCATCACACATTTCTTGCTCATTGTTGTTCCAAATGGTCTTTACAGCCAGTTTTTATTGGAGGCTCCTCATTAATCAAGTTAGAATTCTTCCTAAACATTTTTTCCTAATTTTTTTTTTTTTTTTATGCTGGGGCACTTAACCACTGAACCACAACCCCAGCCAGGCCTTTTTAAATATTTTGAGACAGAGTCTCATTAAATTGCTTAGGGTCTCACTAAATTGCTAAGGCTGACTTTGAACTTTCAGTCATCCTGCCTCAGCTCACACTCAGCCTCTTATTCTTTCATTCTTTCTTAGCCCTCAAATCATGGAATTTCAAAAGGGAGTTAAACAGTAACAGATTAAATAGTATCAGGACTACTTTAATCTCACTACCTCCACTTGATCTCCTCAGCTCCAGGATACAGTATCATTAAGCTAAAATACAATGTATGAAAGTTTTTCACAAATGCCTAATAAAATTCAGCTGGAGTGCTTGTACTTAATACTAGTTCTTCCATTCTTCCTATCCCTCTCCAGATTCTGATTTTATATGTTTAGGGTGAAACCTGGGAAATGACAAACTCTGCAAACCCTCCAGGCGATGCTCAAGATTACACAATAGCTGGCTGGCGGATGTGGCTCAAGTGGTAGTGCGCTCCCCTGGCATGCGTGCGGCCTGGGTTCGATCCTCAGCACCACATATAAAGAAATATGTTGTGTCCCCCGAAAACTAAAAATTAAATATTAAAAAAAAAAAAAGATTACACAATAGCTCCAACGTATAGAAGCTTTAATTATTTACCACTGGTGAGCTCAGAAGTTGATGAACACCTCAAGGTCCTTGCTCCCATCAATCAGGTGGATTTGAGACAACCATCTAACCAAGTCAGAAATTAAGAGGATTAAAAATCTGGATGAGGCAGGCGCTAATCCCAGCCACATGGGAGTATAGAGTTCAAAACCAGCCTCAGCAACTCCGAGGTGCTAAGCAACTCAGTGAGACACTGTCTCTAAATAAAATACAAAATAGGGCTGGGGATATGGCTCAGTGGTTGATGCCCCTGAGTTCAATCCCCAGTACCAAAAAAAAAAAAAAAAAAAACTGGATGAAATATCAAAGTCAATACATATTAGATTCTTGGACTGTTGAGGGATTTATCATCTCAATTTAGAATTTATCTTAATGCAAAACCAGCAATTACTGATAGACCATACTCTTCACAGCTTCTACTCAGGCACGTTAGGTGGCTTTCCTTCGCTGTCTCAATTGAGCAGAAAAGACTCTCTTAGGACTTTGCAAGAGGCACAGTGATGTCTTCCTTCCGTCCTCTCAGCTGTCTAAACGCTAAAGAAGGTAATTGGCTGTAGTGAAACACAGGCTTAATACCCCGACTGATGGAATATAAAATCTCAGCTTTACTGTTCTACCAACTATACAACTGCTTGTTAAAAAACAACTTAAAAACTAGGTTCAATATTTTCCTCTCAGGATTATTAAGTGTGGCAGCAATTAGCCCTCAACTGATAGCTTCTCTTCCCATCATTTCTCTTCTAATGGGAATGTGGAAAGCCCGGACTCAGCGGGGGATTAAGCCGGGGCAGCTCACGACGCACACCAAGGAACTGAACGAAGGCCAAAGTAGTAGAGGAGGAGGAGAAAGTAAGTAAGAAAGGGATGAACGCCCCGGATGGCCTCTGCCCCTGAGGATGCGCGGCCACAGTTCAGGGACCCAGATGCTACAAGCCTGGAGAAGCCATTACCTGCGTCCGAACAGCCGCGGCGGGGCCAGGGCGGTAATGAGCTCATTGCAGCTGAGGCCACCCCCCGGCGGAGCCCACGCCTGGCCGCAGCCCCAGCCTCTCTGTGCCCAGCCTCGCCACGCCATCTTCCCAACCTCTGTCCCACCATGGCCCGACCTTACTAACCCCTACGCGTAACCACTTCCGGGGCGAAGGAAGAACCATAGAGCGCCGAAGAACATCCTAGAGCGCCCCCACGCGGCGCAGCGGAGGCGGGATTGGCCCGAAGTACCCGTACCTGACTGGTGCTGCGTGGTTCTCCCTCTGCTAAGCCGGGGTCTCAGCACCTCCTGAAGAGCGGCTTGGCGTCTGTCGTCTGCGGATGAGGAAGACGAAGACGAGGCCTGGAAGGAAAATAAAAGGGAAAACTAACATTATTGAGTATTGCCGTGTACCAGGCATTTTATCACATTTAATCTTTACAAAACACTTCTTGAAGTAGATACATTCCTCACTGCTTCAGTGGCTCAGCGAAGTGCCCCAAGTTATACCAAACTGGTCCCTGATAGTGGCGCACACCTGTAATCCCGACGGCTCAGGAGGCTGAGGCCAGCCTCAGCAATTAAGCGAGACCCTGTCTCAAAATTTTTTTAAAAAGGACTGGGGATACGCCTCAGTGGTAAAGCTCCTCTGGGTTCAGTCTCCAGTACCAAAAAAGGAAAAAAAAAAAGGGAGGGGGTGAACCTCGGAACCAACATTGCAAACCAAGTTTTCATTTGTATTATTTGTCCTGTTTAGTACTAGAGATTGAACCCAGGACCTCATGTGTGCTAGGCAAGCACTGTAACACTTAGCTACATTCCCCAATCCACCAAACCCAAGTTATCTTAAATGGCAATTCTTTCTTGTTTTTTTTAAAGAGAGAGTGAGAGAAGAGAGAGAGAGAGAGAGAGAGAGAGAGAGAGAGAGAGAGAGAGAGAGAGAGAGAGAGAGAGAGAGAGAGAGAGAGAGAAATTTTTAATATTTATTTTTTAGTTCTCGGCGGACACAACATCTTTGTGGTGTGGTGCTGAGGATGGAACCCGGGTCCCACGCATGCCAGGCGAGCGCGCTACCGCTTGAGCCACATCCCCAGCCCGGCAATTATTTCTTACCATTTAATATTATATTGTCACAATATACGTGGAAGGATGTGCCTTTTATTTTTAACCAAAAGTCCAAGCTTGAGATGAAATGAAAATCCAGATTGCCTGCTCCTCAGTCCGGTTTATTTCCTGCCTCCCTATCACTCTGACCCTAGTTGCAGCCACACTAAGTCATTGGCAGTCTCTCAAAGGCACTATTTCCACTTCTGTGCATTCTTATATCATTCTCAGTGCCTGAACACCTTTCTCTTTGCAGGCTTTTCAACCTAACCAACTCATCCTTTAGATCAGCCTCAAATGTCATGGATTGGAGACCTTTCCCAGACCTCCACTCTGATTTCAGTGTTCTTTCTTTGTACTTGTATACTGCTTTATGCATTTTCTATAACACCTCATTAGTTCTGTAAATAACTTACTTAGCCCCTACATATATCAGGATACTGCTAAATCTGGGAATATAATTTAGAAGATACTACCTTTAACATCACAAAGTTCCTACAGTGTTGGGGAAGAAAGGAACAAGTAAATAAACAATTACAATACATTGTGATAAGTGCTATGATTAGAGAAACACAAGGCTCTGTGAAATTCAGAAGACGGGGATATAACTCAGTCAAATGATGGGGAACGGGAGGCTGCAGAAAAAGGCTTCCCAGAGAAACTGACAGAGATCAACAAGAAAAGGACTGAAACATTTTGGGCAGAGAGAATAACATATGTGATGTCTCCTAGGGCATGACTTGTTTGAAAAACCAAAATAAATTCACTTTTGGTATGTCATAGATATCAAGGGTTTGATTTTACCTTATTTTCCAGCTAAAAGGTTGGATGCCAGCCAAAGACTGGAGACTCCTGGGTCAAAGTCAAAAGACTTTATCATCACAACACAGCAAGCATCATAACCCTCGATTTTGCCTGTGTTTCCCTTGTTCTTTTCAAGTCCCACCCTGATAATACCGTGGCCCAGATATATGTTAACATGTTATGGATTTGCATCTCGACTGAAGAACAGTGAGCTTGAGGAATCTACTATTTTATATTAAGTTTTTAATCTAAACCAGCTAACAACCTTAGAAGGTAGACATAATGTTTTCCTCCAAAGCAAAGGGAAAGTTTGTGTATAATATTGGAAGAAAAAGAGCATTACATCATGGAGCACAGGGATAGGTACTACTCATTATAAAATATTCTGGTTCCTAAACTCAGCATTCCTTTCCTATAATTCCACTCTCTGAGTTTGCAGGTGTCATCTAGCCCCATGGGCATTGCTCATGGGGATTGGGACTCAAAAAAAAAAAAAACAGCAGAAATTTTTGAATAATCTTTCTAATGCTTTTGGTAGGAATAACAAATTACCTTTAATCTCTGATCCAGGACTTTTGTGTTTTGCTGTTATTGTTATTGTTTTTCACCAGCACAACTAAAACTGTAACAGGCCATCATCCTGTTTCGGGGAGGACATAATATCAGACCCTTCACAGTTCTTGACAAGAGTCTGTGGATTCTCAATTTCAGTGGAGAGGGGCCTTCTATAGTTTCTGTCAAGAACTTGGGTGTGGCTATAGGACTGATGACTGAAAACAAAAGAAACTAGAAGTCACTGAAGGTGAGGAAGTCCAGAAACTAAGTGTTAGATGTTGACTGATTCACATGAATTTGAGGTCACCAGGACTTAGAATGGAATCCTAAGGTTTTACTGAAAGAGAGGCAGTGGTGAGATAGTCATTAGTGCTAACTAATGGTGCTAAATGGTGTTAGAGATAAAAGGCAGAGTCTTAATTAGAGGAAAAATATGTATTCAAGGCTTTCAGTGTAAGATAGTCAGGAACTTCCATGAAAAGCAGCACTCCTTAAGATTAAGAGAATGAAAACTTGGAGGGGGAAATGAGAGCCAGCCCCCCAAAAAGGGCAAATGCACTTTAGGTACCTTAACTTATAGCTTGTTAGCTATTAAAAGAGTATGTGTTTTCCCTGCTCCCCCACCTTAACTTATGATTTGTTAGCTCTTAAAAGCCTAGGTGCCTTACTATCAAGAATACTAGTGGGGCTGGGGATGTGGCTCAAGCAGTAGCGCACTCGCCTGGCATGCGTGCGGCCCGGGTTCGATCCTCAGCACCACATACCAACAAAGATGTTGTGTCTGCCGAGAACTAAAAAATAAATATTAAAAATTCTCTCTCTCTCTCTCTCTCTCTCTCTCTCTCTCTCTCTCTCCTCTCTCACTCTCTCTTTAAAAAAAAAGAATACTAGTAACAATAAGGTGAGGATGTGAGGGAAAAGGTACACTCATACATTGGTGGTAGGACTGCAAATTGGTGCAACCACTCTGGAAAGCATTATGGAACCACCATTTGACCCAGTTATCTCACTCCTCAGTTTATATTCAAAGGACTTAAATCAGCATATTATAGAAGAGGCAGCCACATCAATGTTTGTAGCAGCTCAATTCACAATAGCTAAGCTATGAACCAACCTAGGTGCCCTTCAACAGATGAATGGATAAAGAAAATGTGGTATATATACATAATGGAACATTACTCAGCCATAAAGAAGAATAAAATGATGGCATTTGCTATAAATGGATGAAGCTAGAGACTATCATGCTAAGTAAAATAAGCAAATTCCCAAAAAACAAAGGCCAAATGTTCTCTTTGATATACAAATGCTGATTCTTGATGAGTGGGGAGAGAGAAAGTTCACCAGATTGGACAGTGGGGATTGGGGGGAAGAAAGTGGGTATAGGATTGGGAAAGACAGTAGAAATGAATCAGACATAAATGTTTATATATGATTATATAACCAGTGTAACTCCACATCATGTTCAACCACAAAAATGGGAAGTTACACTTCATTTATATATGATATCTCAAAAATACATTCTACTGTTGTGTAAAACTAAAAAGAACAAATGAAATAAATTTAAAAGAACATAGGTGCCTTTTTCTACTCTCCCAGGATAAACAACCTAAAGATAAAAATGTTGAGCAGTCATTGAAATAGCAATTTCCCAGTACCCTTACCTTGTTACTCAAACAATTTGTGTTTTCTTCTACACCCCATCTGTATGTTCTCTTAACAGTTACAGCAACTCATTCTTATAACAGGGCAAAGATGTTTATGCAGGACGAGGCTTCAACATGAGAGATGCAACATCTGGCACACTACCCCTCCCTCCAGGCTGAAAAACCAAAGAAAAGAAAACACCTTCAGAAATGCCCCTAAATCCAATTCCAAAACTCTAGGCCACTCCTACCACCATCCTTTTACATGAATAATACCAGCTATCTCTTTGTCCAAAGAGCGTATTGACACTCTCTTGGTCAGTGCTGTGTCTCCCTTCTGCTCCAGCAAGAAGTTCCAATATAAAAAGTCTTGTTTCTTAGCAGTTGTACCTTTATCTGATTCTGATGGAAACCACCAAAACTACTGAATTGATAAAAAGTGACAAGTAATCACGCAGGAAGACTCATTAGGGTACAATGAGGATGTGGTCTACCTCCAGAACCAAATGGATGTGGTCCTGGGTTGTGCTAAATATTCTTTGCTTCCTCTTCCAGATCACTCTCATATGAAGCTTTATGGGCCACATCAATGGATTCTCTTGCACTTTGGCTTCCAAATGGGTTTGCCAATTACAGGCAGGAATAGGAGTTCAGAGAATGAAGTAGAGCACTTATTCCTCCCACTCCTTTCCTCCTCAAGCCACATGCATTGGTTTCTGTCTTCTGTTACTAAACTCTTCCTTGTTGCTCAATTTGAGTGAATGACGGTGCTGTTCCCTGCCAGAACCTGAACTGACATAGGAAAATGAGCAGCCTTCATTCAGTCTGCAGGAGAAGCAATGTCCTCAGGGGATATCTAGGGGTCATTCAGCTGAGAAGATGAGTGGAAGAATCTGGTGGAAGAGGGATCTAACTGTGATCCTGGCAAGGAGTACTTATGATTTTCATTGCCATTTAATGAGCACTTAGTATTATCAAGTATTGTACTAGGTATTTTGCATTCAGTATATTATTTAATTCAGTCTTAATATCAAGTAAATGAGGTATCATTATTATTCCACTTTGCAGATGAGGAAACTGAGGCTTTTTGATATTCTGACACTTTTTTTTTTTGTTGTTCATGGGCAAGATCCTGGCTCTTATTTCTATAAGTCTAGATAACTTCAATGATTAAATGACTTTGTATATATTGGCTACCTGGTTAACTCACTAGCACACATGGCACTCAAACTGTGACAGATCACTTGGAAACCAAGAGGGAAACTCATCCAAGGAGAAGAGCTCCTCTCATCATCATTACATTATTTTAGGGTCATAAACAAAGATACATAGAGCCTTACGGGTGTTATATGGGAGAAAGCGATCCTACCAACATTAATTATACTCCAGACTCTATGCTGAGTACTGTCACTCAAAATGATTCTTTTTTTAAAATTTTATTTTGTTTATTCATTTATTGTGGTGCAGAGGATCGAACCCAGTGCCTCACATGTGTGAGGCAAGCGCTCTCCCATTGAGCCACAACCTCAGCTCATACTCAAAATAATTCTAAGGGACAGCTCCATTTGACATAGGAAGAAACTGAGTACTTTAAATGTACAGTTGTATGAGGTTTTCTGTTTGTTTTTATGTGGTGTTAAGGACTGAACTCAATGCCTCACACATGCTAGGCAAGCTGCTAGGAGTTGGGTATTGAGAGCAAAACTACAACTTCAACCAAAATCAAAACCCACATAAGGAAAGCTTCCAAAGGAGTTGAACTTTCAATAGAATAACATAGAGGCAGGAAGAAGCAAAGACGGGAGGCTGGATGGTGGGGGTGAAGGATGTTCAAGGTGCTATAAGCTCCAGGCAGGGTCTCTAATAGGGAGAGGCTGACAGAGGATTCACAAAGCAAGGCTAGAACCAGTTGAATTAGGGCCAAGTTTTGTTACCTCTGCCCCAGATCCTGCCTGGGTCACAGCTTCCAGCTCAGGACAGGAATGTCCTCATATAAGAACCCAAACTTTCTACTACTTTTGGGGACCCCACTTCTCTAATGTGTCCCAATCTGGATTCCCCAGGCTTTGTGTACGTTTCCACACAAAAATAGAATGTCTGTTGGAAAGTTTCAAAATTTCAAAAAGCCTAGGATAACTTCTATGTTTACCTACAGAAAGGTCAGTCATGAATTAATAGATCACATTTCCTTATTTCTGTTAGGAGTCCTTCCAGTGTAGCAATAATGATCCATAGCCTACTAGTGGGAAACATTGCTTCATTTGTATTCATCTCTCTTATTATTTTAAAATTATTATTATTATTATTATTATTATTGCTGGGGATCAAATCCAGGGCCTTGTGAATATCAGGCAAGTGCTCTAGCACTGAGCCACATTCCCCCTGCTTTAAATAATACAATAGAGAAATATAAAGCATTTCTTTTTTTTTTTTTAAGAGAGAGAGAGAGAGAGAGAGAGAGAGAGAGAGAGAGAATTTTAATATTTATTTTTTAGTTATCGGCGGACACAACATCTTTGTTTGTATGTGATGCTGAGAATCGAACCTGGGCCGCACGCATGCCAGGCGAGCACGATACCGCTTGAGCCACATCCCCAGCCCAAAAGCATTTCTTTTTTTACAAGTCAGGTTTATTGAGATAAAATACATATACAATAGCACTTTAAATGTTCAGTTGTATGAGGTTGTAGGGCATGATGTAACGTGGGACATGTTGCATCAGAAAAGAGGAAACTTAACTTGCTGGCTGCTACTCACTTCCCAGTCCTGGGGCCACACGTGGCTAAGAGAGCACCTAGCAGTTAGCCAGAAGGCAGTGCCGTGGGTTGTGATGAAGAATCAGACCACCTCTAGGATAGGCTCAGAAACCTTCTGCCCTCAGAAACAGCTCAGGTCTCCCATTACTGCCTGTAAGATGGGTGTAGATGTAAATTCTCCCCACCCTGCTGACCTTTACCCTGATTGGTTCCTGTACATGATATTAGCTCTGTGTGTTTTCTCATTAACCGAGATCCTGCTTTGACTATTCTCCCGGGTGTGTCTGATTGTCCTCCTGCAAGGGAGGGCTGGGTGTGGGCAGCCAGTCGACCTCAAGTCAGGAGGGAACAGGGAGATTTGTTTGTTTGTTTGTTTTTATGTCGTGCTGAGGATTGAACCCAGTGCCTCACACATGCTAGGCAAGCGTGCTCTGCCACTGAGCTACAGCCTCGCCCCATACTTGTATGAGTTTTGACAAACACATTTTGTCATATAACCATCACCACAATGGAGACATAGAATATTTCCATTTCCCTAGAAAGTTCCCTGTGTCTGTCTGTCTACATTCAACCCTACCCCAGACCTTGGCAACTTGGCAATTATTTAACTGTTTTCTGTTCCTCCAGTTTTACCTTCTCAAGAATATCATAGAAGTGGAATCATATAATATGAACACATATTTTCACCTGTTTTGGGGTAACAAATACCTAGGACTGGGATGGCTGGATTGTATGGCACAATGCTTGCTCTTACAAGAAATTACCAAACTGTTTTCCATCATAGTTGTATCAATTTACATTCTAACCAGCAGAGTATGAGAGTTACAGTTGCTGGACATCTTTCCCAGTTCCTGAGGTTGTCAGGGTTTTGTTTTTAGCAATTCTAACAGATATGTAGTGGTATCTCACTTTAGGTTTTTGTTTATTTTTATTTATTTATTTGTGTGTGTGTGTGTGTGTGTGTGTGTGTGTGTGTGTGTGGTGCTGGGGATTGAACCCAGGGCCTTGTGCATGCACAGCAAGCAGTCTACCAACTGAGCTCTATCCCCAGCCCACTTTAGTTTTAATCTACATTTTCCTAATGTAAATAATTCTCTTTTAACAAAGAAATCTTTTCTGAAGGCATAATATTTCAAAGCTTGGAGACCTTGTGGTGCAAGCAGAGGGGGTCCTTGGTGAAGAATTTTCTGGAAACAGGCGACTGCTGGTTTTGCCTGGTGAATTAGGGGAGCTCTTTCCCTATCCTGGTTCATCAGGGACCTGCATTTCTTCCCAGTGGTCAGAAGAGGGCAGGAGAAGGCAGAAAATAGGCTTCTGGGGTTTTTTTTTTTTTTTTTTCCTCCCTTTTTTTTTTCCAGCTCATCAGTCTCTGGTATTCATAACATTTGCATTCATTATTATATTTATAGTTTTGCCTAAAAGCCTTTCCCTCTGAAACTACTTGGCTGCTACTTTGTAAAACAAATGAACCATTTTATATCATGATTGAACTGACTTATTGTCAAACCTTAATTAACCTTGCAAAATCCTTCCCTGCTGAAGCATAACTAACCTAACCCAAGAACTAAGCTAACCAAATCAAGCTACCTTTGTAGAGTCCTTGATAAGTTCACTCTCCACTGTGACCTATAGAGCTTGTGTTGGGGGAACTACAAGCAGCTGAGCTCAATGATCCCCTATTCTTCCCATTTTCTAACTTTGCAAGGGCCAAGAGAAACTGAGGAAGATTTTTGTGGGGGACAGGCCTTCAAACGCCCAGCTGACTACAGGCCCTCTTCCCTAGGACCTGGGCTGGGGCTGCTCAGGCGGGGCACTGCACAGATCTCCTGAGGCTGGGGCTGCAGAGTGCCTCCAAAGATGTATTCCAGCCTGAGTCCCTGGCTCCCATCCGGTAGTTGGAACCGAAAGGTCCTGAGGAGGGTGGCAAACATCAGGAAGAGTTCCATTCGGGCTAACTGGTCTCCTGGACACACTCGATGCCCTGGAAACAGAGAAGAAGGTCAGAGGGTGGCAGCTGCCTATGTTTGTCCCATCATCATCACACCTACCACCCTGAACCCAGCACTGGGCCTGGTACCTGCAGAAAATGGCAGGAAGGCTTCATTGACCACGAAGTTTCCATCTTTGTCCAGGAAGTGGCTGGGGTTGAATTGCCGCGGGGTCTCCCAGAACTCAGGGTCGTAGAGTACAGAGGCCAAGTTGGGCAAGATGATGGTGCCCTGTAGAAAGGAGCTGGTGTGGCTCAGGGAGCCTCAGAGGACCCAATACCCAGTCCTGACTTGGTCAAAGTGAGCTTCAAGATGAGCAGTGTGCAGAAGGGAGTGGCAGGGGGCTCTCAGGGAGTCCTCCCTCCAGACCCACAGGAGTGCGGGGCCTGAGCATTACACCCTCTGGGCTACTGGCAACCCGCATTTGAGAGACCCATAGAAAAAGAGATGAAGAGAAAGGAATGACAAAGAGAAGACAGGCTCACAGAGAAAAAAAAAATGTCTGAGAAAGGTAAAGCTTGAGTTTTTAGGGTTGGGGGGAGAGCATGACCCATCCTCACCTTCATCCTGACCACCCTAACTCTTGCCCTCACTGTCACCCTAATCCTAATCTTCACTGTGTCTCAAAGAAGTAACTGATGGATTAAAAACAGAATCAGACTGCTCAGATGGGAGGGAACAGAAAGGAGTCAAAGATTGCAGGCAGGTCTGCTCCTTCCCATGTGGACGCTGAGATGACATAAGGAGGCCAGCGTGGAACAGGGTGGGGTTGGTTATGGTCCCAGAACCCACAGTCAGTTCCAGAATTCTCCATAAAGCTTCCTACCCCATGGCTCAACACCATAGAATTAAATCAGCCACTCTGTGAGGTCTAGGAGACTGACTCCAAGATTCTAGAAATTTAAAACAAAAACCAAGTAATAAAACCTCAGCAAAAATTGAAGCCTGCATCCAAAGCAGAAGCCAATGAAGAAAGCAGAAATCGAGCTGATGTAAAACTTCCTGAAGGCACTTCTTTTTTTTGTTTCCTTATTTTTATTTTATTTGTTCTTTTTAGATATATATGACAGCGTAGTGTATTTTGACATATTATACTTCTGGGCACTTTTCTTTGTTGTTGTTGAAGTTTGTACACTAAGGGAGGGACCAGGCCCTATCCTTCTGGACCAATAGGACACCTAGACCTGGTCACTCTGTGGCTTTAAGCATACAGTTGGGGAGGCATGTTTTCTCACTGCTGCCTTTATGAGCTCTACACATTTTCCCATTATAGTCCTGGGAATTTCTCCCTGTTTTCTTTACCGGGGATTAAGTAACCTTTGGCATTGCAAAAATGTGTGTGTGTGTGTGTGTGTGTGTGTGTGTGTGTGTGTGTATGATGCTGGGAATTGAACCCAGAGTCTTGTACATCATAAGCACACAGTCTACTACAGAGCCACACCCCCCAGCCTTCTCTACAATTCTTCATCTAATTGCCTTTAGATGAAGGGGCTCTTGGGAAGATGCTCTATTCCTTCTAGAACTATTTATATCCTGTTCTGGGTAATATTCTGGCTTCCTTGCAAGGCAACTGACTGATATGAGCTCATGGAACAGGTTCAGAGTATCACCTATTCACACACAAAATGTAACCCCCCTACCCCAGTTTATAGAACTATCTTCCTGCTGGATGTTTCCTGGGGACACTATGCCAGTTTCTCCCTAGTAAGTGGCAGTTTGAAGCTCACAATCAAATAGAATGCCTGAGCAGAGATGGGCATGAAGTGCACCATTGTGTTAGGGACCACTACTATTGTCACCACCACTCAACGGATGAGAACAGTGTAGAAGTATCTGTAACATTTAATGATCTATTGTCAAGCTTTGATTCCACTTTCAGCAGACATCCCTGCCTCAAGTTGTAAAAGCTCGATATTGATTCCAGGTTTTTAATGGCCCCCTGGAGTCTTTATTACAGAGCAATTCCTAGAATCAAATTGTCAAGAGCCGGCTCTTAATAAGGAAACTTCTAATCCCAAATGGCATAGAACATCTAAGCCCTGGTTCTCTCTTTTTTAACTTGACCTAATTTAGTATAGTTTTTAGAAAACCTGGGCCCAGGCCCTCCTGCTATGCCAGCAGCAGGATGCCTCTGTCCTGTCCTCAAACTTGATAAACCCATGAACTTGGTGGCCAATGAATGCTAAGAACAGCTCAGTATCAGCCAACCAGGCTGATCAATAGATGGATGATGTAAAACATCTGTTTAACATGTCGGTTTGTTTATTCACCAAGAGGCACACTTTTGGAGCAACACAGATAGCAGGGTGTGTGTTGGAAAGAACATAATCTTTGAATTCATAAGACAATTACTGAGTTAAGTCATATACTAGCTATGTGTTTAGAGGTTAATATTTGGGCTTTCTAAGCTAAAATTTCCCTGCCAGTAAAAAAAAGCTTTTTAAAAGTGGGAAGATCAAATGTAGCCCCTGTATTCTAACTATCTGATTTTTAAAAATCTATGCATACATGTATTTTTTATTATATTTATTTTATTATTTATTTTTTGGTACTGGGGATTTAATTCCAGGGTGCTTCACCACTGAGCTACATCCCCAAACCTTTTTATTTTTTATTTTTAGACAAGGTCTTGCTACGTTGCCCAGGGTCTCATTAAATCACTGAGATAGGCCTCAAACTTGCAATCCTTCTGTCTCAGCCTCCTGAGATGCTGGATTACAGGCATGTGCCACTGCGCCAGTTGTGCAGACATTTAAACTGTAACCAATAGTTTATTAGAGTGAGCTCCAAATATATGAGAAACAGTATTCTCTTATAGCTTCAACTCTGGACTTCATTGTGTTAATAGAACATGAAGTGATACAATATAAATTATTTCTGAAGGGAAAATGCCTGCTTGGTTATGGACAATTCAGACATGTATCTCAAGCAATAGGAAGCCCCATCCTGTCTGATTCTGTAATTAGTCCCATCTACATATTTGAACATAAGCTTGTTGTAAAATCGTTAGTCTTTAATGAGTAAAAGTTGTTTTTTTGTTTTTTTGTTTGTTTGTTTTATACCAGGAATTGAACCCAGGGGTGCTTAACCACTGACCTACATCCTCAGCCCTTTTTATTTTTTTATTTTGAGAAAGGGTCTTCCTAAGTTGCTTAGGGCCTTGCTAAAAGGCTAAGGCTGGCTTTGAATTTGAGATCCTCCTGTCTCAGCCTCCTGAGCTGCTGGAATTACAGGTGTGTACACATTCACTACTAAAACACCTTCATTTTAACTTGCAAAGTAATTTAACTTTAAAAGAATTTTCTATGTGCTTCTGTGTCCCTTCTAAGAGAATTGATCAGTTTTGGACAATAAAAAATATTTTGAGTAATAAAGGAGTTGAGACAAGAAGCAGTTGCCATTTTGAAGACTATCTCCACATTAAAAAAAAATCCTACTTAAGGTACTATCCAATATATTTTCCACTGGCCGTTGACAGGCTATTATGAATGATGATCATCAAAACTCCTTGGAGTGTCATAAGATAAAGCTTTCCTGATAGGCACACTTCCTTTCATTACACAATGAGAGGCATAACTGTGATTTTCTTTTTTTTTGCCTTGACTCTAAGGAAACTCAGACACAAGTTTTCTGTATAGTGCAATAGCTGTACTAACCTAAATATTTATATATAACTCTTTTCCTCTATCTCTCCTTATTTGGCACTTATTCTTTTAGCCATGAAATAAGAAACAAGAATGACATTTCTGCTAGAAATCAATTCTAAGGAAATAATACAAAATACAGACCAAGCTTAAAACATACAATAAATTGTAAATAGCCTAAATGTTCACCAATGAGAGCTCAAAAAAAATCACAAATTCACCCATTTGGCTGGGCGCCATTACACATGCCTATAATTCCAGTGACTCAGAAAGCTGGGACAGGAGGATCACACATTTAAGTTGCCTCAGCAACTCAGTGAGACTCATGTCTCCAAATAAAAACCAAAAGGACTGGGTGTGTAGCTCAGTGGTAAAATGGCCCTGTAATCAATCCCCAGCACCAAACCAAACAAAAACAAAGAACACTTATTTGGTGGAACACTGTGCAGACATTAAATGGTGTAGAACAGTGGTTTCCAAAGTGTGTTCTCTGGACCCACAGCAACAGCGCCACCTGGGAACCTGTTGCAAAGGCAAATGCTCAGGACCCATCCAGACGTTGAGGCTAGAGCCAGCAATGTGTCTTAACAGATCCTCCAGGTGATTCTGATGTATCTGTGGGTTTGAGAACCACTGTTTTAGAAGAATCTGAAAAACGTGTTAAGTGAAATGAAAAATTCAGAGTGATATATTCAGCACAATCACAGCTATATGAAATACTTATATGTAACAAAGATTGCAAAGAGGAACATGCAAGGGTTATCCCTGAACAATAGGAAACTTTTAAAATATCCATCGTATGTGCATTCTTTTATAACCCCCTATCCCAATGCCATAGATAGATAATAGATGACTGACTGATGGATAACTCGTAGAGAACTGGCAGGTTGGTAGAAGCTACAGCAGATGGCTGTGCTGGGCAGGAAGAGTGCTGTCTGCAGGCACTGGGGTGGGCATGGGGCCATGCAGGGCCACCTACCTTGGATATGTAGTAACCATGCACCCGGGTGGATGTCACGCACTGGCGCACAGCGCCCACTGCCACAACACTGCTGAGGCGCTGCACCTCATGGAGGACGGCACGGGTGTAGGGTAGTCGCTGTCGGTCTTCATAGCAGACAACTGGGGCAGTGCCCAGCACTGTGTCCAGCTCCTGCTGCACCTTCTCTGTGGGTGGCTCAGAATGACCAGGATGGCCTGGCCTCCTTATCCTACCCCAATGCAGTCTTCCCCACCCAGAGCCACTGAGGCTCACGGTCCCTGGATCAAACTGCCCCACCCTGCTGCCTCTGGTCCCACAGAGACAGAGCCTACTTCTTGTAAACAGGAATTTGCAGGGTTTGCACCCACAGGGGCACTTATGGGAAAGGAGAAGACCCAGAATTGAGCCCCTACTATGTGCCAGGTACTCTATACACAAAGAGCTTTGTGTCACAGGAACTGTTGTCTCTACACATGAGAAAACTAAGGCTCCAACAGAGCGGGTCCTTTTGCCCAAAGTGACAAAACTGGAGCCAGGAGTTGAACTTAGGTCATAGCCAATTTGTCCCTGAGAGAACTGCAGCCACTTTTGCTCCTCTACAACTATGATCTTCAGGTGGACATAGGGCCTGGCACTTGGCAGATGCTGGATCATTACTGAATGAGTAAAATCATGCTGCCCCATTTACTCTGGTTCTGAGAGCTGGAATGACTTGCCCAAAGCCATACGGCAGGCTGGGCATTGAAGCCCCTCCCGTCTGACTCAAAGCTATCAGTGTTCCCTTTACCACAGGGGTGACAGCAGAACCTACTCCTGGGGCCACAGGGCAAAGTGATGGGGGCAATACCCAAAGCCCAAAAACCCCATGTGGGATTGGCAGGCACAGAGCAGTCAAGCAGGTATAACCAAGAGCTCCTTACCCTGGACAGCTCTGTGCTGGACCATGTAGATGAGTGCCCAGTGCAGGGTGGTGGCCGTAGTGTCAATGCCTCCCAGAAACAGGTCGATCACCACCTGGATCAGGTTCTCCTCGTTGAATGTGGAGACAGGATCGTCCATAGCCTGGTGAGCAGGGGGGAGCAGCTCTGGGTCTGGAGTCTCCCCCAACAGTCTCCTGGTGTCTCCCCACTCCCCCCCCTTTTTTTTTTTTTTTAGTGGTACTATGGGTTGAACCAAAAGGCCTCTACCACTGAGACATATTCCTAGCCCTTTTTATTTTATTTTGAGACAGGTCCTTGCTAAGTTTCTGAGGCTGGCCTTGAACTTGCAATCCACTTACCTCAAACTCCTGAGTAGCTGCTATTATAGGCATGTACTGCCTTGCCCTCCTTAAGGCCTGACTTTTCTCAAGACTTCTGCAACCAAAACTCACTGGGGGTCAGATCCATCAGGAGGATCTGAGAGCCAAGACTGCATTGATTTTTGATGGGGGACTGCCCTGGGGTTATGGCCCTGATATCATCCAGGTCCTGTTTTGCAGCTCACCCCTGTCTGCAGAAGCCAGTTCTTGGCATGGGAAAATATAAGGAGAAAATGCCTTTTTAATGTAAGCTTCCAGGGTGCTTGGGTCAATGATGAGGAACTGAGACCATGGCATAGCAGCCCAGAAACACAGCCCCTTGCTTTCTCTGCAGCTCTTTCAGGCTCACCTTGGTGATCTGGGTCAGGTAGCAGCTGATAAAGTTCTTGGGAGCCTCAGGTGTCCTGAGCTTGTACCTGATGATCTCATGGCGGATGAAGCCCTGCAGAGCTTCTTGGTACCTAAATATCTCCTGATGAGGTCCTGGGAGGTGGCGAAGGGCCCAGGGAAACATGTCGTAGAGCTGTGGGGAAAGAATCCCACCCAGGGCCCACTTAGGCCCAAGCTCCCGACTCAGGGCAGCTGAGAGCTGAACTAGGGGCTCCAAAGTAGATTTCAAAGTCTCTGGTGACATGGGCGACCCAGGGCTGCCTTTTCTTTGGAGACCCCAGAATAATCTAGACAGAAATAAGAGCAGCGGTAGCATGATTGTGTTCAAAACTTAGCTAGGACACTGCAGGTCTAAAAAACTGCATTTCTGAGGCTATAACCTGCCTCTTAACCCTGCCCGACATCCATGCTAAGAGTCTACACAAAGGTTTGGTGCCATGAGCTTCAGCTTGCTGAGAAGAAACTTCCTAAGGAACCCAGCATCAGGCCCCACAGCCTCCCCTCCTGCCTGCTTGGTACCTTCCCTACGAGGCCCTAGCCAAGGCCCCTGCCTGCCTTGGGCCCCAGCCATCCCAGAGCCTCCATGTCTCCCAAATGTCAATTACCCGTCGCCACGTGGTGCTGACAAAGGCCAGGCCAAAGTTGATGGCTTGAATGAGTTCCTGGAAGATGGGCTCCTCCGAAAGGAAGCGGTGGCCAAATACCAGGGCCCCGATGACTCTGGCTGTGGACCTGATAATGGGGACCTGAGGGTTGAAGGGTCTACCTAAGAGTAGAGAGGCAGAGCTCAGGGCAAAGAGGCACAAAAAGAGCTGCCCTGAGCACTCTTCCAGCCTTGAATAGAATCGTTCATTTACCTCTTCAGTCACCCATTCTCATTGCTCAGTCACTCCCCATCCCAGGGCTTGCTGACCACTTTCTATGAGCCAGGCTCTGTGAAATGCACTGGGCTTGCAGAGAGAAGTATGAGAGACAGTGTTTAAATGACAACAGAATGCAGGACAGGCATGTCACAGCTGGGAACAAGGGAGGGTGGGAGAGGACTAGCTTTGCCTGAGATTCAGGGAAGACTTCTTAAGGCAGGAGACTTTGGCCAGGTCTGAAAGTGGAGCAGTGGCTTATTACAGTGAGGGAAGGGGTGCGGGCCAGGACACAGCTTGAGGGGTGTGCAAATGTTGGAGGTGCGAGAGGTCTTGGGTGTTGATAGAGGACATGTCCCTAGCTATAGAGAAGGAGGGCTTCTGGCTTCCCACTGGGCCTCTGTCCATCCATGTTGGAGAAACTCCCTTCTATTGATGCAGTTCAAAATCATTGTTAATGTTCCTGGGCTTCATGGGCGCCCACTCGCATGTGGCAAGGCTCAGCTTCCTCTGCAGGGATGTGCACCTGTGTGGAGGCATACAGAGCTTAGGATAAGCCAGCTCCTCCCCAGTCCTTACCCCTCTCTCTGTGGAAGGCCTCAGCCAGCTCTGCTGCCTCTTCCTGAAGCTGTGCCTCCAGCGCCGGCTTGCCTAGGCCCAACCCACGAAGCGTCGTCAGGCAGAAGCGTCTCTGTTGCCGCCATGTGTGCCCATTGCTGCAGATGACTCCTAGCCAAGGTGAGGAAGGGGTGGGATGGACAGTCACCAGCCCCTCCCAGCCTTCTCCCTGGTCAACATCACCTGGCTCTCACCAGACCCAGAGTCAGATCCAAAACAAACTTCCTAATCAGCTCTGTGGTGGTACTCTGACCAGATGGTGGGCCCCGCTATGGCTTCCCCTAGTCCCCCCACCTGATTTTGCCTTTAAGAGTCCTCACAAGACACAGAAGAAGAGGTAAAGAAAAGGAAAGGGCAGGGTCATTTGTTGAACCAGGTGCTGGAATGGGCCTTCTCAGGTATTTGGGCTTGCTTAGTCTCCCCCCCATCCTCAGAAGGAGAGGGAACTCATGATCTCCATCTAATAGATAAGAACCCAGTCCAGCAAGGAGCTGAATGAGATTTGAATGCAGGTCTTGTTGATCCTCAGTGCTGCTCCTTCCACACCCTGCCCTCCACTCACATGGAGGTTTGGAGGAGACCTAAGTCCTCCTAGTAGGTCCCTCTCCGTTCACAGTTCTGGGTCAATCCTAACTTTGAGTGACCATCCAGCCACCTTCCCTTCCCAGTAAGAGGATCAATCTTACCTCTTTCTCCAAACAGGTCCTGGAAGAGCGGGGTGAGGGGCCTGCCTGAGAACTGCTCTGAATTGGAGATCAAAGCTTCCTTCACTGCCTGGAAGCCATTCAGCACCACAACGGGTGTGGGGCCCACCCACACTGTGAACACGTTGCCATGCGTCTGAGCCAGCTGCAGAGAGATAGGGCAACCTAGGACTGTAGACAAAGCCTGTGAACCCCATTTCCTGAGACCTACCTCTTCACATGAATTTTCCACCTTCTTACTCCCAACACTCATGTCAGGTGAACCTTCCCAGAGCACTCCACCCCCTTCCTCAGGCAAACCCAGGTCACAGACTCCCAGGACATAGAGTAGTCAGTGACCAGCACTTATGTCCCATCAGTCCTAGAGGTGGGCATCTTCTACCACTTTATAGATCATACAAATAACAGCTAGCATTTCTTGAGGGCTTGGTGCCCTGGGTGGACTTCACATGTATTATTTGAGTCCACCTTCAGTGTAAGCATGTGAGGTAGGTAAGAAATCAAAGGCCAAAAGACAGACCAAAAGACCAGGAATGTGGACCAGGTCTTCCAATTACTGGTGTAGTGCTCTTTCTATTGCAGGAGGAGCCTGGGGATCCCAATTACCTGGCATCCTCAACCAGATGCTGAAAACATCCTTATGCAGCACGGATTGAGAGGAGAGCTGAGTACTGCCATGGGGAAGGGTAGTGTCTCCCTCCGACCATAGGTCTCAACAGAAATTCAGCCCCAGCCCAGATTCCATACTCTACTCAGTATAATGGGAGCCCTCTGACCACCGAAACTATCTACCCTGGAAGGTGTCTTTCTGTAGAGATCATTTGAGTACTGGAGTGTGCCCATGGAGTTCCATTTCTCCTTGTTCCTATCTCAAGTGGCTTTTCAGAAAATGCCTTCAATTCACAACAGTGCTCTCCGCTGGAGTAAGATTCGGTCCTAGTTCCCCTCACCCTTTATGTCACATTTGCAGTAGACTTCTACTGCCCTTGGAATCCTTTTCAGTACACTCTGCACAAAGTCTTTACATTCCATTTTTGCTTAAGTTCTCAGAGCTGATGAGTAACAGGACTAGGATTCACCTCCATATGTTTCTGATTCCAACTTCTTCCTTCTACCTCTAGTCCCTGGGCTGAGGACAGGAGGGGTTCCTCTGCCTACCCCTTTCTCCAGCTTGGGGACCAGTTCCCTACCTGGATCAGTGTCTCTGGGTGCAGTCGAAAGCTTAGTTGCCAAAGGTTTCCAAGCAGGGGTATGGGGAAAGGGCCAGGAGGAAGGTGAATCCTTTCCCAGCAGAAGGTACCAAGTTTCAGGAACAGGAAAGAGCCAACCAGAAAAGCCAGCCCACTGAGCAAGGAGAACATCTCTGTGGGCTTGTGTCTCCTCTCCTTTCCTTTGCCTCCCAAGGCTTCCAGCAACCTATCTGGCCGCCCTCCTCTCCCCACTGCCTGCCCTGACTTTTATGCTGGTGCTCTCAGGCAGTGTGATGGAGGAAGGCAACCCCTAGGGGTCTTTTCCCAGTGGAGTAAATCCATTTGGTCACACTTGACACACCTGAGCCATGCTGCTCAACAGGGCTGTAGGGCTCCAGCCTGGGACAAGTTGGGACACCCTTATTCATACATCAGCATTGGCTTCACCTCTGGCCCATGGAGCTTCACCTTGGGGAAGCTCCTCTCAGCTTCTGCCCAAGCAGTTTTAGCTGA